AGAGTGGCCTAATGGAGGTTTTATAACAGAAGAGCTATTTCTGTTGCAGTAACATCCACAACAGATTTAATCAGGAAAAGTTGATCTGGAATAATTTCTTCTGTAGATGAGCCTATGTGCCTGCAGGAGTCAGTGTGATGGAGCTATATATTATTGGGTTGGTATGACTTGAAGAATTAGAGCAATTGAAAAGTCTAGGAAAGCAACGTTTTCCTGCTGTTCCAAAACATCAGTCTGAGGCAACTAATTAGAAGCAGCAAGGCACAGTTTCTACAGTTGCAAAGCATTGCATGGCAAACTTAGCTCTGTAAGTGATTCTAATTAACGTCAGCGTAAATCACTACTCACTCTAAATGCAAGGATTTTAAAATTTTCTCCTGGAAATGTATGTACCTGGAAGAAGATATATAAGGGGGTTTTTTGTCTTTAGGACAACAGTTCCTTTTCTCTCTCTGATGCCATTGCGTTCTGTATTACTGGAAAATCTGAAAATTATTGCTTCAAGACTGTTTTACATCTACCATACTATGACAAAACATACCCTTGGTGACGGCTAGTTTTGGAAGCTGTTTGTCTAGTCTTTGTGTCAGGGCTCTGGCAGCTGCCATGGGTTGGCAGAACGGAGCACAGTCTGTTGTCCTTGCATACCTCTGAAGAAGAGGCACCCAATGAATTGAGTTTGTAGAGAAACAGGTATCTCCTTAAGAAAAAAATAAGGGGAAAAAAGTAAAAGCATTCAGAAGCTGTCCCATGCATAGTCTTGTTCTCAAATGAAAATATAACTGAGAAACACCAAAACAGAAAGCAGTGAGGAACAAAGGAAAGCACACAGTCACAATCTTTGCTTAAGTTAAAACTGTCTCCGCTTTTATCTGTCTCCAGCTGTTTCCAAGAACAGATAAAAGAAAGCATTATTTTCCTCTCCTACCATGTAGGCCTGGACAACCTTCTAACAGTGCAATTACAGGCACTTTGGTAAGATTTGTTTATAGCAAACAGCATTGCTTGCTTTCCAGCCCCATGCTAACTCTTTATGGGCCACTCCGTCAAACATGGCACATCTCAGCAAAACTGACATCTGTTGCCACAAGCTCATGCACATGCCCTCTCTATATGGAGCTACCTTTGAGCAGGGAGAAGACTCTCAAAGAGAAATATTTATCAAATGCTTCACAGGCCCCAAAGCCATTAGACCTTTCACTCCTCACAGTTGACTCCAAAATTAAAACAAATGGTGCAGGCCACAACTGGCTTCGCCCCTGCCATCACTCCAGCCTCCACCACTCCTCAGGGCATGCCACTGATAAGGACACCAGACCAAGGGAGCAGTGTGGCAGTGGGGTCTGCCTTCTCTGCAGCCAAGAGCCCCCAGAACTGTAGCTCTGCAGCCCAGCACAGATCTGCAGGAGGATGCTGCCATCTACCCTTAACATGCTGCCCATTTAAAGGAAGTAATTTGTTTTGTATAAGGGCCATCTAGTGCACCAAGGCTTCCTCACACAAACTGAAAAAGTAACTTGCACACACTAGAGGCTGAGAAAGTCTCACTCATTCGGCTCTTTGAGTATCTGATGTTTATCTCTCAATGCGACTTTATTCCTAGCAAGGAGAGAGGAATTTCTGTTTTCCCTGACAAGTGCTAATGGTGCCCATAGGTGCCAATAGCCTTCCCTCACCTATAACTGTGAAAAAGACCCTTTTTTTCCCAGCCAATCAAAACTGAATCAGAAGTAATATCCCACAACTGTTTATCTAGAGTTGTTTTTTTTTAATTTACATATTTAAGATTCTTAAGGTCTACCCCCACACATTTAATTATTTGTCTTTCATTGACTCCAACAGTACATCAGCAGTCTGATGTACACCCAGCAGTTTCATTTGCCTGAGGAAGTATATAGCAACTTTATATTTTGGCTTCCTTTTATTAGCATGGTCATATAGTACAGCAGGCTGACTCATGTACTGAGCAGCCCCATGAATTGCAAGTTACAGGCATATGTCTTATAGAGGCCTATCTAGTCACCCTGCAATCGCTACGTGTATTTTGCAGCCTATCTCACCTTTTTACAGCACAGTCATGTATGAGCATGAGAGACTAAACAGCAACCAAGTAACTGTATACTTGCACTCTGCAAAATTACCCAAGCTTCATGAGTACTCCTTGTGACTACAAAGCACACTCTTCGTCAGAGAAGACATGAAAGAATATAGTTCCCTAC